TGGAAGCAATTTTGCGGAGCCTTAAGTCTGAACAGGCGAGCATCTCCTATGTTCTCTTAAGGAGACCAATTGCTGCTTCATTAGAGGGCAATGATTTTGGGCAATCGTCTTCATAAAAGTCTTTCTCTACAAAGTGTCTGATGTCTAGCCCATAAACTGGGTTACCTTCCTCAGCTGACTGACTGAGCCCGTAAATAGTTGCGGGGGGGGGGGGGGGAAGGTTGTTGCCAAAGATATGCATCCTCATGCAGTATTCTGCAATGTTTTAGAAGGGTTGTCTCTGAATCAGAACCTCAAGAAATTCCTTGTTCCTATTTAATGAGGAAGCAGTGGATATCTGCCATGAATGTGACAGAATCTTTATGGAAGTAGAATAGGACTCCTATGAGCCTGTTAGTAAGGACTGGGCCTGAGAGAAGGATGTCATTTAGCAACTGTCAGATCTGCCATCACACCACAGTTAGCTTTGCCTGGCATTGATGGCATCCTTCCATAAGAGGAAGAACCAGAGGTACCAATCGGAGACACCGGTTGAGAGATCCAAGGACAGAAGCATGAGAATGGAATGCAAACACCCACCAAAGAGGTGCCAAACCTGGTACTAAAACACCTAATTTGAATGCTATTGGACACTGTCCAGATGACCAAGGGGGGAGATCCTGGGAGAAGAGAAAATTACTAAATTTATGCCAGAATAGTCAGATCTGCCTTTCCTTATGCTGTAAACATTTGGCCTTAGTAAAAGCATATCTTTTTTTACAAATGGAATCAAGAGTTTTTCTTCTCTAAATGTCCAAGCTGGGATAGGGCTGACACACATCTTACTTACAGCTGGAGTCAAACTCCACTCAAATCTAGCCTGTTTTCTTAGGGTGGTATGCCCAAAAATATGGGAGATACCAATATTCCTCATTGTCTTTAAGTGCAGGTGCTAATTCAGCATGATCGTTTTCAAGTATCTTTCCCATGAAGGCAAAGAAGTAATCCCTCGTTTCTGGTTTTCTCAGAAACGCACCAGAGGCAAACCGCTTAAACACTTGTTCCTTGTCGGCAGGCACTGTCTTTGGGGTCTCTATTGGAGGGGTACAACCCAATGATTTGACTGTCTTTTTACTACTCCTTGTTCTTCTGTCCTCCAGAGACATTGCCACCTGTTGGTTTTCCTTTGTTCTGCCACAGACAGTGCACCCTAGGTGGTCTTGGTCACTGTTGCAGTCTAGGCCTGTGAAGGGGCAGGGCACATGGATGCTATTTGGCAGGTCCCTTATGAGGAAGTGGTTGTGGCATGGTTGGAAGTGAGAAGGGCGTCCTTTATCTACTGTGCTGGTGAACATGGTGCTAACTGAAGTGGGTTTGCATATGTCTCCCAGACAGATGTCCCCTATGATGACCCACCAAAGTTTCTGAGAGTAAGGAACAGGGTTATCTGGGCTTGCTCGTCATATTCTGGTAGGAGATGGGCTATGCATCTCAGATGAGATTGGTGCATTGCTGTATCTGGCATGGGAATTTTTGCCCAGATTTCTGGAATCTGCTTGCACTCAATTAAGGTAGGCAAGTATGGCCATCTATGGATTCTACGTTGAAGGCAGTACTCTCCCTCCCTGCCGTCTCAGCAATGCCTGCACAGGTCCTGCAGGAGTAAGGGGGGCTAGGACCTTTGATGCCGAACATGTCAAAAAGGAGGTGGACTTGGCTAGAGACGTATTGCTTTGATCATCTAGAATCGCATACATCTTGATGGCCTTGTTCCTCTGGTCTTTTGGGTACATTCACATTAGACAGATTTTTGAGAAAACCTGCTGCCTGCAAGATATTTGCATACCTCCATACACTGAGAGGAGATTACTGGCCGTGTTTGAAACAATGTTCTTCTGCTCCACACCCTGTCTGTTGGTGTTGTCAGCTGTCTTGTCAGTCCAAGGAACTGGGCTGGGATGCAGGCAGTGCTGTGGTCTGTACTTTTGCACTCTGTGCATGATACACTGACATTACAGTCCTTGGCAAGGTATGACATGGATGATAGCACCTGAGGCAGATGTCATTCTCTTTTAGGAAGTCTTTGCAGTCCTCTAGAGGCTTCTCTCTGAAGGTTCTACATTTCAGGAAAGGATGCGGCTTTTTTGTAGAGGCACATCTGCTCAGGATCTCTGCTTTTGCCCTCTGGGCAAGAGGAGTTTGGTGTACCTGTAAAGATAATCTGATGAGGAGATATTAGTCTTATGCACTGCCACTGACCTGTTCAGCTTGGAGTCAGGAGGTTCAATGTATGCCAGTGTGAGGTCAAAACCGTTCATGACCTTTGTTTTCTGAGAGAAAGTCTGCAAATACACTCAGTGGTGGAAATGGCAGCTTGGATTTTGTATTATGCTTGAACTTATGAGTGTCCCACTTTTGTTGTACGTCAGGAGGGACCTTCCAGACTATGGGGTTAATTCCCCTGGTCGTGTCCAAGAGAAGCCTGGCAGGTCACCACACTGTTTTGGCAGCTTGTAACTCTTGCAACAAATCGTTTAGTTCTCTGAGCTTTTGGTACCCCTTGCTGGTTATCTTAGGGAAATCCTCAGCCTTCTTAAACTGCCTCAATTGCCTCTGCTGATCTGTAACACTCTCCCAGATCATCTTAAGACCAGTTTCTGGGCATTTTATGTTAACATTCCTGATCCTCCTAGTGTGCTGAGCAGAATCTTTCTCAACCCATTGGATTAAGAGGTCCATCTCCACAGTGTATGATAAGTCTAGTCCCCTTATTGTACTTTAGAAGGATGGTCACCAAGCTCTGTAACTGGCTAATAGTTGAACCTCCCCTGTCCTTTGATGATTACGCCATGTTTAGCAAGGAACTTGGCACGGTCTCAGGTAAATTGGTTTGCGGATGGGTAAGATGGTGACATGCTGCTGTAGTATGAGTGCAGTGTATTATCATACATGCCTGGCACTTCTGCTTTAGGCCAGCTTGTGCCATACTGTTGAGGAGAAGAGGCAGTGTCCTGGCATTAGCATGATGCTTGAGACCTGTGATGTGTAAAAAAGTAGGTGGCCTCTGCTTCATATAGGGTGAGCATTGTTTTGTTTGTTGCTCTGAAGTTCTGGGTTAACTTCCTACACTAATTCTAATGATATGTGGATGATTCTTGTGACAACACCCTTTGATTCCTGTGGTGACAGGATGTCTTCCACTGATCTCTTATTTTGAAGTGCGCTGCATAGGATCTTGCTCCCCTTATTCTGAGCCTAGCACAGGGCACTGTGGACACTGCACTTCTTGTCAGGGTCTGTAGCTGATTCTGTCTCTGCCATGTTAGCTGCTGCTTCTCTTTCTATGGCGAGCTTCTCCCTTGCCACTTCCAGACATGATTGCTCTATCTTTAATTACATGTCACGCTTGGCAAAGGACGCTTAATTCTTGGCTGCTTCAGCCTTTGCACAGGCAATGGGGCCACACTGCTGATGGTTGCTGACTTGGTGCTACTGAGCATCTGTAATCTGCTCTTGTGTGAGGATGCTTGGCTGCGGGATATTGTGGCATAATTGCATAGAGATCGCTGGAAGCTGATGCCATATAAAACTTTAAAATATTCCTTTACCATTGTTTAAATGGTGTATCAATTACAAGAATATTGGAAATGTCTGAACCAAAAAAAACCCCATCTTTGGTAAAACATTAGTCTTAATTATAGAAATTCTATCCAATAATGATAATTGTAGTTTATCCCATCTCAGTAAATCCTTTTTTGGTATCATTCCAAAGAGGCACATAGTTATTTTGAAACAGGTTTGTATTTGCCAATATAACCCCCAAGTAGTTCATCTTTTCCTCAACCTTAAAACCTGGTTTTAGTTAATATGTCACTATCTTGAGAGGTCATATTCTTAATAAGCATTATTTTCTGTTTATTTTAAAAACTGCCAAAACCCCAAATGGCAAGGGGAAATATATCCAAGAATTAGATATAAACTACTGGAAGGTGGTAAGGAAAAAGGAGGTTTGGGTTTACCAGATTTGAAATTATATTTTGATGCTTGTTTGGTCTGGCTAAAAGAGTGGGTGAATCTTCCCAATAAGAGGTTACTTGACTTAGAGGGCAATGAATTCAGATTCGGATGGCACAGCTATTTACTGTATGGCAAGGTTAAAGTAAATGTTGACTTTAATAATCATTTTATTAGTCATTCTAAGAGTTTGGAATAAATATAAAACAAGGTTTCTGTGAAGATGCCTCTTTGGGTGTCCCCAGGAAGCTTTTTTAAAGAAAAGAAATGGTGGTATAGCCATGGACTTATGGTCAAATAATATCTTTTAATCTTAGTGATCCTATCCTGAAATCTAAAGGGGTCAAAAGACTCAAAAGAGCGTGTCTGCCATTGGTTTACACATTTACAACTGAAAAAAGCAGAGTGCAGGCGTCTGTGCCGGTTGCAATCTCTTGTGTAACCTGATGTGCTCGCTAGCTGCACTGGGTGTAATAGCCACTTGCAGGCTATCTGCAAACTGTAGCCCTTCCTGGTAGATCAGGTAAAACTAAAGGAAAACAAACAATAGCAAGTGATTACAAAATGAATGGTCCCAATACACGTATGTGAGTGTGCGTGAGAGACACCCCCCCCCATCAATGCTTGCCAAAGGAAGGGACGAGAAAACAGGAAAAGACGTGCACATTTTAAAAGGCATAAGCACACTTGAACAGGCAAGCCCAGGGTGAAGTTCATCTTTTCTTGCAAACGCTGGATGGAACACCCTTGGCCTACTTAGCTTCTTGAGCGCGGTAGTCCAAGGCGTGTGTATGTGTTGTGTGTATTGGAAGCAAGACAGGATTCTTCAGACTTCACCTCTATTACCCGTTTAACCCCACCTCTCTCTCTCTCCCCCCTCCCCTTTCAATCAACCCGGAAGCTCTACAAGAAAGAGACAGATTTACGTTTACTTTTCTAGCTCTACGTTGTTAAATTCGCGTTTCTTCTGCTTCCGTCATTGGCTGGCCGAGCAGACGAATACTGACGACTCCGGGAGGCCGGGCAGAATCGTCGGGAAAGTTCGAGAGGGGAATTTCTGCGCCTGCGCCTGACCCGGAATAAAAGTTCACCATCAAATAAGCCGGTCCTCGGCGCAGACATGGAAGAGGTGAGAAGGAGCGTGGGGACGGGGGACGGGGGACGGGGGACGGGGTGGGTGGTGTTTCTGTCCCCAGATCCGAGCTGGCGGGGTGGGGAGCAGCAGCAACCCTTTGCTGGCTTGGGCGGGGTCGGCGTGGCGGAGCCCAGTTGTCTTGGAGGTTGGGTTTAGGGGCGGCCATTATTACCAGGGCTTGGGATGCTGGAGAAGGCAGCGGAAGGATGGTCTTGCGCAGAGGGTGGACCCACGAGAATTTATATCGATTTATATAGGTGATACAACCGGAGTGTTTCTAGTTCAGAATAATTATTCTTATTAACTCCCCCACCCGTCAGTCAGTCTTGACTCCTGGCCAACTGCCTGGACAATTCCCTGCAGTTTTCTTGGCAAGGTTTTTCTGAAGTGATTGGCCAGCGCCTCCTTCCTGGGGCTGAAAGAGTCACCCAGGTGGTTTTGTGTCTAAAGTCAGCCTGGTGTCTTAACCGCTTCACCAAACATCCTGGACATAAACGGTTTCAACTCCTTCCCTCAAAACGACGCTATAGAGCACTGCACACCAGAACAATTAGGCATAAGGAGAGTTCCCCCCCCCCAAAGCCATCACTCTGCTAAACAAATAATTCCCTCAACACTGTTCAACTATTTACAAAGTCTGCACTACTATTAATCTTCTCTCTCCTTATCATCCATCCCCTCCCCATTGTGACTGTATGACTGTAATTTTGCCACTTGTCTCCTTATGATCTCTGTTGACTGCTTTCTAGGATGATTTGATTGCTGATTGTACCCTATGACTATCATTAAGTGTTGTACCTTATGATTCTTGATTCTTAACAAATGTATCTTTTCTTTATGCATACTGAGAGTATTTACAACCAAGACAAATTCCTTGTGTGTCCAATCACACTTGGCCAATAAAAGAATTCTATTCTAATTCTAATTCTATTCTATTCTTCTACCAAAATGGCTCTCTAGTTCAGATTTTAGGTGAGCTTAAACCACTTCATCTCCTTGCCATAGTCAATCTCTTCATTCTGTGGGTAAATTCTCTCTTTACAGGACAATGGCCAAAGTGGCTGTGCTCCATTTAAGCAACTAGAATGCTCTTGTAACTCTTTCTAAATGTCAGTAGCCTAGTTTTATCCTTTGGTTTGATCTTTATTATTAACTTTATATAAATTTGCCCCTCAAGCAGATGTTGATAGAACATTTGATAGTAATGCTAATTAATTTGTATACTCAATGTGCAGCTACAGAAAGATTTGGAAGAAGTGAAGGAGCTTTTGAAAAGGGCAACAAGAAAGAGAATATATGACTTTCTGCTGGCAGAAAAAAACAAAATAGAGAGGGAAATCAAGAATTTTCAGCCACTCAAGCTAAAAGCTGAAGGACCTGAAGAAGAAAAACCAACACTCACTGGATATACAGTGAAAATCAACAATTATGGTAGGAATGGATTTATTTTACCTCATTACAGAATGCAGTAGAAGGAAATATTATAGCCACCAGAGTACTACAAAAAGCTGCATAAACTTGTTACATCTATAACTTCCACTATCCAGCATTTATTTCACAAGCTAGCACACATTGAAAAAGTTGGTTGCATATGTCTACAGGAGCATTGCATATGTCATAGGTAGGATTAGGTATAATATAGTGTATTTTGTGAACATAGAAGTAAATGAAAACAATTCGTTGTATTTGGCTTCATGGAGCTGTTAATTCCTATTGTTTTAAAAACAGTCATACAATTCAAGTTTGTTTCTAGTATTAGCTTTTCTCTCTCTCTGACTAGTAAATATAGAATGAATGAAGCAAAAACCATGTAATATATAATGCATATTTCTGAGTTTAGTATGCACATATTTTTATTTAGAAATGAGCATATATGACAGGGTGGATTAAAATCATTTTTAAAGTAAAATAATGGATTTTTAAAAGTTTAAATTGGATTTTTTAAAATTTAAATTGGATTTTTTATTTTTATCAAATTTAATAAAATGCTCTTGGAGTAAAATCTATCTAAGGACAGTTTTCTGTTTAAGATACATTAATAATTTAGTTTATTCAGCATGAAATGGAGCTAAGTTATGTAGCATGAGGCTATAAGTTTTGCAATATTTACATTTTTGGTAAACTCAACGAATCCAAACTCTGCAAGCTAAAGAGAAAACCTTCATTTTGTTTGCAAATAATATTCTAATTATCAAGAACGAGTCCTTACATTTAAAGAGTACCTGTCATTTCAGATCCATCATACCAACGCCTATTAGCAGACACCCACTCACCTGCTTCCCACTATGTCCTTCACCTTGTTGTGTCATTGCCGTATTACCAACCATCCCATTAAAGTGAATGGGACTGTGGGTGAGACAACAGCGGGTCAGAGGACGAGCTGCTGCAGGACAGAGATGACAGTTGCTCTTTAAAAATTATGATTTAAACAGTTGACTTAAATCAAGCCTTTTTACTCGTGATTTAAATTGACTTGATTTAAATCAAATCCACCCTGATATATATCCATAGCTATAAATATTTTCCTATTGAAAATCTAATACTAAATTATTCAGAAGCAAAGGGAGAGAAGAAAAATACTTATTTGTATCATTTTATCCAAAAAAAATGTTCTTCCCTTTGCCCTTTAGAAAATTAGCTTAAATGCCCTATTGGAAAGAAAGAGAAAGGGAAAGAGAAAGGAATACTTTAGAAACTTGAATCAAACCTACATTTCAATCCAGAGGTGATTTGCATTGAGATTAACAATGATTACAAAATCCTTTTTGAAGATAAATCAGCTATTTGTATTGAATCCAGTACAGATTAGATAGGAGTGATATTAAATCTACACCTCAAACTAAAATGTGTGACTCAGTTTTTCCCATTGGAAACCATCATACATGCTATGCTAATGCTAACTTGGGAAATTAGTGAATTTTCTTGACATTGGCATAGAAAGCACAGTCTGATGTCTACTTATGTGGAACAAAAGTCAAGAAAATCAGTATGACAAAAATGAGTTGTACACAGGTATTTCTGAAGATCGGTTCTAAGAACATGATTAGAAGAAGTAAGTAATTAGAAGAATTATTGTTCAGGAAAAAAATAGTTGTCAGAAAAAGCTTGACTAAATTCTGAACGTAGTTGGAGTTGAAAAGATCCCAAAATGCTCATACCATAGTTCTTAGGAATTTAGACTGGATTTTTGAAGTCTTGGGTCTCTGTAGTGAGAATACTGCATATCATAGAAAAGGTAGGTTGTAACCTTTACTCTATAGTTATAGCAGCAAGAACATAATTCCTGCCTGTGCTGTTGCCAAATTCAAAAATAGTTTGGTAATCTTAAAAGCCAGGTGTATGATAGCATTATCGGCTCCTCCCCCCCCCCCCCCCCCCAAAAAAAAAAAAAAAAAAAAAAAAACACCTTATGTTTAGAAGATACTTCCAAATATTTAAATGCCTTGATGGGTTCTGTATTAAAAAATTGTCTTCCAACTTGCAAATCTTACAAATGAAAACCACTACTTTTGTTCGGGCAAAGCTGATGACAAGGCTTTGTAACTACTTGTATGAGGAAATGGCCTAATTGTGTGGTAGATAGGGTTATTTTATCACTTTAAAAGAGAACTGAAACCAGTTTTGGAGAATGGAATTTTGTTTTTGTCAGAGCTTTGAAATACAGAGTGGATATAAAAATTGAAGCAAGCTAGTAATCTTAAATCCTTTTTAAATGGGATTTAGGACAGAAAAAGTAACTGAATTACTTTACGACAGAAAAGTAACTGATTAGAGGCATATCTAACCTCCATTGAGATATGCATAATCAACTTTAGATGTCAGGTTTATCCGTACCCTATTTCTAGGTACGGATCAAACGCTGCCTTTAAATTGATAAATGTTATAGAATGGCTAGAATATTTTTCCAGTAGAGGGTGGAGAGCACTCAACACAGTGGCTGAATGTTGTCCTGCATCAGCCAGTTGGGTTATGTCCAATAAAGATGACTGGATTATGATTGACTTATTATGCTTAAGTGACCAGTTGTGTAATAAATTTCTGGACCCATTTTATCTCCTTTCTTGTAAATATGAAATTGACCTTGTCCAGTTTGTAAGGATTTGTAAAGAGTGAAGTGTATGAGTGAATAGGTTGTCAGTACTGTGACCCATCCATGATTCTACTTTTGATAGTTTCAGTGTGGGAAAAGGAGATAACTGGAAGGTCTTCCAAAATGAAAGTGTCCTACAGAAATACAATCATGTGAGGAATTTATTCTTTTTGATGTTTCTCCTTAGAAATGCTAAATTCTTTGAATTGAACCTTGAAATCTTCTGCAAGCCAGCGCAGCTCACTGTATGCCTTGACTATATTGACTGGCTAATTAAATCATCAGCTCAAATGTGAAAATTGTTACATGCAGGTATATAAACAACATGCTTTCTGATAAGTATGTGAGGAACAGGATTGCTCCACAGAGCCTGTTTAAATGTGATGGAAGGAGCTATTCAATTTGAGACAATGAAGTGCATAGAAGACTGTTGAGGATTTTCAAAATGTTTTCTTTGATTTTTTTTTAATAGATTCTGCGCTGCAATTCATTTTGTAAAGTAACCTTGAAAGGACCTCAGTTGAAAGACATGATCTCTTCAAAGTTTTGCATCATTCTATTTGTGTGGGTCATTATCTTTCTAATCTTTATTTTCATGCCTAATATTTTTAAAATCTGTTGCAGAATTAAAATGAAGAACTTGATTTAGACACAAGATCTAGATGGGATGTATGGCATACAAATCTAATAGTTACGTAAAATAAACATTGAAATATTATTTATTTAAAACCAGTATTCCCTTTTTAATATCCAGAATGCTTTCTTTTCATTCCTTTAGCATGGGATCAGTCTGATAAATTTGTGAAAATCTATGTCACATTAAGTGGTGTTCAACATCTGCCAGCTGAGAATGTTGAGGTGCACTTTACAGAAAGGTAAGTTTTGTTTTTGATAGAAGGTGTAAGCAGCATCTGCTGCTTGCTCTTGCTGCTGGCTTTCACAGAGTCTAAAAGTGGTGAGGAAAATGAGCCCTCTTCTTATATAGAAAGAAGAGATGATTGCTATTCCCAAGTTATGGTTTTACAGAAATGGTAGCATGTTATACCTACTGCTTTATATGCTTATACAAGCTTTATAAAAAGGAAGAAAGACCATCTTTCAAAGGTATACTGGCTCATTAAACAAAGCTTAGTCTAGTGATAACCATGGTTAAGATATTTGCCCACAATGCCAGAAGAGTCATAATCATGGCTAAAATACCCACAAAGCCAGCATCATGCAACATGGTAAAGGAGTCCCACTACCAGTAACCGATCAACTATCCTAGCAGCTTAGCCTATAGGACTAATTTTTATTTTTGTTCCACTGTTCAGTTAAAATAATCTTGATCACTGTTGGTTACATGAGTGCCATTAGGCAAGACCAGAAGAAATGAGAGAATTCTGTTCAAGGCCAGGATTGTGTCCCCTTTGATACTAGGTATCAAACTGTTTTTAGTTTATTTCTGATAGATCCATCATATATAACAGCTTAAATGTGTGGCTGCCACTCAAGTTGACATCTTAAAGCAATGCAATCCTTGCCTGGGTCTTATCCATCCATATTTAACAAAAAATTTTCAAACACTCAACTATATTAAACTTTAGGCCCAAACAAACCTACAGATTTTTCTCCCTTTTTCCTATTAGGGTGGCTTCTTGATATTTATTTGATATGGTTGTTTATAGAGAATTCTGATTCAATTTCTTATCTTCTTAGTTCATTTCATCTGCTGGTGAAAAATTTAAATAACAAAAATTATACAATGACGTTCAACAACCTTCTGAAACCAATCTTAGCTAAAAGCAGCTCATGGAAGGTTAGTATATCTGATGTAGTCAATGGTAATACTCATCATACAGATGCTTTGACTGGCTTTCTACTCATTACATTTATTCATAATATATTTTGTTTGGTTTTGACTTAACATGGCGTGTGAGCTTGGCATTTGTCGTTTATTCAATGAATAATGGTTAAAGAAACCAAGCTTTAGAATGAAGCAAACCCTTCTTTTAAGTTGGTTTCTGCTTTCTGGTGTTTTCCTATAAATTAGCTTTATCACTAGATGGTCTTTTACTTTGGTAGATTGATAGGCAATTGCAGTTCTTATTCCCCAAAAGAATCTCTATTTTTCTTAGTCCTGAGTAAGAGCTACTAAATATCATAGGCCTAATTCTGAGTGAACTGGTGAATCTTATCTTGGAGCACTGCTTCCCCTGGCAGAGTTTTCTTTACCTTGCAAAGGTGTAAAAAAACCTCTAAAATCATTCATGTCACATCCAGGTTCAGAGTTTTTAGAAAATACAGTCTCAGATTTGAAAATAGGAAATCTCTTCTGCCTAGAACAACTTTATCAATCCAGTGCCATCATATATGGAGACTCGTAGCTAATACTTTCATGTTGCAGTTATTAAAGCAGTAACAGATATAGAAGGGAATCTTGGGAAAATAAGTAACCTGGGGTTTTGAATTTCGTGAACAGCATTGAAACTTCTTAAACTCTGGGTTTTAAAAAAATATTCTACAAGATTAGCTTACAAAAGTAAGTTTGTTATTTTAAATAATATATCTACATTGGATTTTGAAAATAATCCAAATAAGTTCCTTTCTGATAATTCTGGCTTCTTGCATTATTTTGAACTCTGCTTTCTTCCTCCTTACAGATCAAAACGGATATGATCTTGATATTATGTAAGAAGCAGCAAGAAGAAAAATGGGAGTGCCTAACGCAGGTTGAAAAAGAGACTAAGGAAAAAGAGTAAGTTATAAAGCTAAAATTCAACAAACCAGGATTCCTTTAATCCATGTAGCACATGAAAGTTTAACAGATTTAAAGAAGTTATACTTATCCTGTTCGTGCTCACTATGGATCTTAAGAAACTTTATGGGAAAAGAATAATCTAGATTTTTATAGAAATTGCATTTTATGGCCAGTTGCTGAAACATAACTAAAAAACCCAAACCTTTTATACCAGGCAATTTTTATACTGCATATTATATTGAATATCAGTGATGATGACATCTTGGAACTGCACTCCTAAATGAAAATTATAATAGACATTATTTAAATTATCATTGGTTTAAATTATCATTTCACAGCTTTTGGTATATTACAATGTACAGAAAATAGTTTAATGAACTTTTTAATCTTACCAAATGAATATGAATGAATGTATATTACTAGATCTCCAGGGCTATTGCATTTTGCGAGAAGAAACAAATTAGGCACTGAAAAACAATACAGGCTTTGTATTTTACTCCATGATATTTGTTTTAATCAAATTATTTTTGCAAATATAAAATTCAGTATCAGGCAAAGGTGCTTAAGATAAGCTTTCTTGTCACTTTTTTCTGTGAACACACTGGTATACATTAAAAATGAAATTCTGATGCCCGCTCTCAAAATAATACATACATACATACACACACACACACACACACACACACACACACACACACACACACATAGATGATAGGTATGATAGATAAATCACAGACCATATGATTACAATGTTAAATATTTGGATATTCAGCTCTTGTTATAGAACGTACCAAACTCAGTACATAACAGTATAATTTCCTGTCCATGTACATCCTTTAGGAAAGCTTCCTATGATACATCTGACCCCAGCGAAGGATTGATGAATCTACTGAAAAAGATGTATGCAGAAGGAGATGATGAGATGAAGAGAACAATTAATAAAGCATGGGTGGAGAGCCGAGAAAAGCAATCTAAAGATGATTTGCCATTAGACATTTGAACAAAAGTTGAAGATTGTGCTTGCTAATTTAATCTATATTTTATGTATGGCGGTTCTGCTGTAATATTCTGTTCAGAGAACATGTGCTTTTTATATAACCAAAGCAAAGGCTGCAAAATGTATGTTTCAGATTGGAGATGGGAAATAAAATATGCTCTAAAACTTCCATCTCCTTAAATGTTTGTCCTTCCAGCATGTCTTGGCAATTCCCAGACAGGTATATATTCAAGTAAACAATGATGAATAACTGTAGGTAAATGATTCCAGTCTCCCAGATAAAAGTTGAAAAACTGATTCCTCGGATGAGGTTAGCCTAGAAAGGAAACCTTCAGTTTTTTGAGAATGAAGAGCTTAGGAAATTGTATTGCATCACAATTCAGTGGTATGCTTAGATATGAAGCTAGGTGATCAATTGATCTTTCTCGGATTTTGAAGTTTATGTTCTGAAAGCAGTATTAACTGCAATGTTATTAGGCTGAGAAACTGATGGGTGGTTTTAATTTGAGGAAGAGTTCAGCTTAATGACAATGATTAATAAGATTTTTCAGCATATTTGCTGTTCACAAATTTTGATTGTTGCTACACAAAAATCAGCTACATTATATGACTGATTTCCATCTGATGAGAAGATTCATATGTATGCTTTCATTTTGACCTATATACCAGTGCCAGTGGCTGAGAAGAAGGGTGAGTTGGGTAGGAGGAACTAAGAAAGAAAACTGAGAAATGTCAAATCTATAGAACCAGTCTTCAAAAGAACCAATTTTGACAAACATGGTGGGATGCTAGGTTGATTCCTCTAATGGTTTAAAATCCCTGTGATGTATTCAGGAAGAATGGGAAAAGCTATGAAATGAGATAATAAAAATATTCAGTTCCTATGATATTCAATTCCTATGAGAGAAAACAAGAAAAATCTGAAGAAGCCAGCACTGATACACACAGAACTGTCTAAAATGACATGCAGGGCAAAGGAGAAATCAATAAATTAGACCTGCCAGCTTGACATCTATACTGGTAAGGTCTTGCAGCACGTTTATGAGTGCTTGGCTAGATAGGGTACAATTAACAGGAACCAGCATGGGCTTGTCACAAGTTGTACTAGAGCAGGGGTCACCAACCTTTTGGACCTCAGGGACCACCAAACTTAAATCCCGCGGACAGAGACCCTGGGAAAATCCCAAAGTTTGCAGGAAAATTCCCTACCCCGTTTTCCTACCGATCGATCATTATTTGGGATTGCAGGATACCATCTCCAGCTCTGTTCTCGGGGAAAAGAGTGAGAGAGACTTTTGGCTTCATGCAAGGAAAGCAGAAGTCTTTCCCCCAAATTCCACCAGAAATGAATCTTTGTGAGACTTGTCACACTGGCGCAGCCTGTTGGAGCAGGATGTGTTGCAGGGTCCCAAAGACTCATTTCTGGCGGAGTTTGGGGGAGAGAAAGACTTTTGCTGCTTTCCTTGTGTGCAGCCAAAGCAGAAAGAAGCGGAAAGAAGCAGCCCGGTGGCCAGGAGAGGCGCAAGGGGCGAATGGGGTAAGTTCCCCCCACCGCCCTTTTCCCCCTCCCCTCGCGTTATTCACAATGCAAGCGACGCAAGCCTTGTGTTCCCACTGGCCATGTGGGCAGTGCAGCCTTGTATTCTCCCGCAGCCTGGATTGCTTTGGGGGTTCCATTTCTTGGCGGACCACCAAAATTTTCTCACGGACCACCAGTGGTCCCCGGTCAACTGGTTGGTGACCACTGTACTAGAGTATCTCTTGTGATTACTACTTTAGTGTATCAAAGACAGTGGTACATAGACCTTGGCAAAACCTTTTGAGAGTGCCTCATGACATTCCCCTTCATTAAAAAGGTAAGATATAAGCTAAATGCAGCTGTTAGATGAACTAGTAGGCTGAATGATTGCACTCAAAAGTGATTAATGACTATCACAGCTTGGAGAAGCATTGAGTGGAATGCTATAAGGCTCCATCCTGGACCTCTGCTGTTTTTTACATTTTCATCACTCACCTGGAGGAAGTTGAAAAACACTTACAAAATTTGGAAATGACACAAAATTGGAAGGAGTGGCTAATATTTTAGATAGAAAATTCAAAAAGAGAGGTTTTTCCACAGCAGGCCTAAGGATGGAATTTAACATGCAAAACATAAATTTCTTTATATGAATAGGAAAAATGTAAGGCAGAAAAATAAAATCATGAGACTTGATTAGGTGCGAATACATGTGAAAAGAATCTGAATGCCCATATATAAAAGCCATCAGTGTGATCTAGTTGTTAGAAAAGCAAATTGCTATCTTGGGGTACATTAATAAATGCCCTGAGTCCAGATTATAGACACTACTCTGGCCACGTCATGTCTCACTTGGAGTACTGTGTTCAGCTGCAGGCATCATAGTTCAAAAGGGACAATGACAATTTAGATTAGATGGCCTCTACCTAAGAGTTGGATTCTATGGCCTCATTTGGCACTGCACGTGAGAAAAATCTAGCTATCAGGGACCACCAACAGTACACCAAGAGATTCACTCCAGGTTTCAGGACAAATAATGTCACTATTGGTTGAAATGCAAATAGAACACTTCTGAACACTACAATAAAAGGGACAAAAAAGGAGCTGGAACACATTCATAGGAACGCTTTGAGAATAAGGTTGAGCCAATCCCTATGAAGAACAGTTAAGGTGTGTTATATTGAAAAAGGGAAGATTGGGGGGAGATTTCATAAAGGTCTACAAATATTTATGGGTGTCACACTAAAAGCAGGCAAAAGATCAACAATTTTAAAGTAGAATGTTGGTAGGGAATATTTTTCTGGCAGTAACAGTTGCTAAGCAATGGAACAGTCTGCCTAAAACCAGTGAGGATTCTCCCTTGCTGGAGGAGGAGTTCAAATGGACTAGATGTCTATTCAGTGGGGATGTGCACAAACTGAGCAGAGCAGGCACTGGATGAATTATACATTGCTTTCAACTTGTATTCTCTACTTAAATCCCCATTTTTCTAAACACTGATTTTGGGCCAGGCATATACTATTCTACTCTGTCTAGAACACTCTTATCTTTTCTGAAGTCTTGTTTTTATGTTAGTCAGGAAATTATTATAGTTATGATATACAAACTAGGCTGTAACGTGCAGTGTTGTTTTTCAAAAATGTAACGATAAAGTTAAAAAGCTACTTCAAATGCAAGAAATGAATCAGAGTCAAATCTGTGAGAGTTTATTTTGCATGTCTTCTTAGTTGCAAGAGTAGGTTCACATCTTCATAATATCAGACTGATATCCTTGTCAACATACTTAATCTCTCATTCTTGCACACCATGTCCAGGAATTTTCAATTAGGATTCAGTTTTGTCACGTTAAGAGATTACTTGCTTGTAGGTCACCACATTGCCCTCTGTATCCCAGAGAGCTGGGCATGGTCAGCCAGATGACGGAAGACAATTCGGCTGAGCCTCCATCTCTTTTTTACACCTCTAGGTCGGGATGTCAGAACACATCGATTGTGGATCCGCACAGGGCAACTATCTCGGGGAAGATCAGCTATCTCCTTATCGGTAATTTCCTGGAACAAGTATTTTAAAAATATAAATTTCCCCTTCTATACTTAGATAGAAAGATGTGTACAATTATGTCACATGAAGTGAGAGTGAAGAATCTCAAAGATTGTTTTCAACTGGAACTGCCAATCCTAAACTGACATGGTAGGGAATCTGGGATCACAGGATTTTTATCTCTATTTATTCTCTTCCCTGAATAAATGCACTGAATTCTTCATATGAGGTCCTGTAATCCTTCTACTAGTTAACCACTCCAATAAGAATTAGATTGGAAGTGGAACTATTGTTTCTCAACTAAGATATCCAAGATATCTCTGAATAATTAGATTTTTTTTGCATGGATTTTTCTAATTACACGTACTCAACAAAAATACATTTTGCATTTTTCATAGCCTACACATATCAACTTTAAAGTATCTTAAATAGAAAAAAAAAAACACATTAAAAAGGATGTTCTCATCTCATCCAACCATCCCCTCCTCTTTTTGCCTTCAACCTTTCCCAACATTCCCAACCTTCCTCATTAGGTGGCCACAGTTTTTGAGTTTCAGCTTCAGTATCGACCTTCAAAAGAACAGTCAGGGTTGATTTCTTTTAGGATTGACTAATCTGATCTCCTTGCAGTCCAAGGGACTCTCAAGAATCTTCTCCAGCACCACAACTCAAAAGCATAAATTCTTCAGCACTTAGACTTATTATCAAAAAGATACTAGCAATTAAAATTAAAGCAGAAAAATAAGTTTTTAAAATTTAAAAATAATTAAAATTTAACTGTCTGAACACAAACTGTTTTTATATCATTTGAAATTCTTTAACACATTGGCACAATATCACGTTCCCAATAAATACAATTAGTGTAAAAGGATTATATAGTATAAATTATTATTATAGAACATATATTTAGTGTAAGATGCACAGATGACTATCTGTCATGATGGATCCAGCAAGAGAAGCATTTTCTGAAATCTATCTGCAAGAGACTATCATCTGGTAAGGCCAAGGAAGAGATGCTGCTGTGGTGCCTGGCTCCTGGAACAACATCCCACTGGAGAACTTGCCTCAATCCTGCTGGCCTTTCACAAGATATTACAAGCTTAGGTTTGCCATCAAGCCTGGGGCTCTGATATAGCTTGTTTCTTGATCATGGTTATATTAAACACTTGATGGTGTTAATGCTATTGTTATTTTTGGTCTTATTAATTGCCCAAAGTCAAGCATATAGGATAAATTTTTAAACAACTTCTCTTGTTGTTCCATTTCATAATACCTTGACAAAAATAATATTCTTCTTACCTGGAGTTCTTTAGGCAAAATTTTATTTTTCCTAAGGCAATTCAGCCGCAGTCTCTGATCTGCATAATCAAAAGCCATTTTCCTTCTCTTAACATCACGTACCATCCTCCAGTCCACATAATAACCTCTTGTTTGACCAGCACATGGCATGGGGAAGAACTAATAAAAAGAAATTACAATCAGCTTTTCTTCAGGCAAATGGGTATGCCTGTCTAAATTTCAACTGATGCCGAGTATTAATGTTTAAAATATGTTTCAAAAGCAAAGTAACACTCCTGGTCAATCTATTTTTCAAAACACAAGAAGGCAAGATAAGAAACAATGGATGGAAACTAATCAAAGAGAGAAGCAATCTAGAACTAAGGAGAAATTTCCTAACAGTGAGAACAATTAACCAGGTTGCTTTCAGAAGTTCCAGCAGAGTGCCATAATACGAGCAAGATAGAAGAACTTTAAAAAAAAGGGGGGGGGCAGGCAACACGAATCCGCCGCAGGACACTCGGGAGGTCGGCAGGGCAAGGCTCTTGCGTAGTCTTCCATTCCCCCCCCCCCCCAATTCCTGGCTTATCTCGGAGCGACTGTTGGGCGGGGGGGAAGCACTGGGCAGAAACCGAAGTTGAGCACAGCAGGTTAAGGGAGGAATCGAGAGAGAAAGGGACCGGACGCGACTCTAACCTGCCGAAACGCCGAACGCAGCATCAAAGCCACTCCCGCCATCTTTCCCTATAGGGACGCTATTTGAACTACGCATGCGTTACTCGCAACACGGCAGCACGACCCTGGGAGTTAACTCCGCCAGGGCGTGAAAATGCGGAAAATGCGTGAAGGGGAGGAAGAGGGGTGAGCGGAAGCTGGGAGCGTAGGTTTGTGGGAATGGGCGGCAAAATTTAACAAACTATGGGTGTTATGCATTGAGCTTTTTTAAAGGTGAGCGTAGGAGCGTTTACTATTTCTATAGAATTTCTCCGTGTGTGTAAAGTAATATATGCGTGTGTATATGTGTATGAGTGTATATATGTAATCTACCTACACACAGCTTGCACAAATTAAATTACATTAGGATTAAATTACATTCTTAAGGCTAGATTGGGCCCGTTTTGCGTTCCCAAATAATTGCGTGTAAGATTGCTGCGGGGTGGTTCAGATGTTTCGGGACTTCTTTCGTTGCAACAGGCTAAAAGGCTTGTTTCTTTGGAAGCTTTTATTGAGAGACCAATCCATAACAAATCTCAGTGCGGCTGAATTCACAAAATTCAACCGCACTGGTAAACTAAATGTGGGTGTCTACTTTTCAAGAACCATCCAGGGTGTTTTTTCATGCCATATATGTTACATTAATCCAAGAAGCTAGATTTATTAAGCAATTCTAGAGTCATATAATTGTTAAAGCAATGTACTAATAAAATGCATAAATGGAATTTAACTAGAGAAATATAATTACATTAACACAATAATTATATTAAACTAACTATAAACTTTAAAATGATAAGTCTAGTAAGATTTTTTATAGCTGGGAAGATCAGATGAGCCAGCAGTAAGACAAATTGCAATATAACGATTAAAAATTAGTGGTGATTTGAGTTCTTCAGGATACTGTTTCCCGTAGCTAAAACTAAGGCTGAGACTTTACAATTCTTAACATGGCTACCTATTATGTGTAAGAAACTATGTCACATTTAACTGCTTTTTTGTTTTTGTTGGCTGAAGATTATTTTTCTCTATTCTCTTTTCCATTTCCTTCCCACCCCTTGTCACTTGTTAGGTGCATTTCTCGGATTAAATTTCAGGCATCTGATCAAATGGATTATGTTCACAAAAATGGATATGATAACAATTGAATAGCTTTTACATGTCAGTAAAACTCTTTGTTGTATTGCCTGCAGTTCCTCTGGAAAGAAGTTCCTCTGGAAAGAAGATGAAGTGATATATTTAGGATCATCCCAGGAGGCTGAGAAAGCCTTGGTTTCTGCAGTGACCATCAGAGATCATGAGCTACTTCAGATTGCAACAGCAGCATCCCATCGTTTTGAAAGGAAGAAAAAATTCTAGAAATATAACTGCAATCATTTGAATGAAACAGATGCCTTTGAGTGTTCAGAGAAGTGATTAACCAGCTCCTTGTTATTCTGCTGTCAAGGTCTGTTCAGCCACCTACATTTAAATATATATGAAACGTTACTTCCTTCCCTTTTCAGCTAATTATATTTTGCAATAGTAGATCAAGTTTTTCCAAAGCAGAACATTTGCTTCTTTCCAAGAAATACAAATGATTAGAAGCCTTAAATTAGTTAAGTCTTGTGGCTCTAATATCAAAATGTACTTTAGGGGGTGCTAGTGACTGAAAAAAGTGCTGTTATATCAGCCTTGTCCTAACCAACAATCTCGGTTTTCTGACTTTTAGACTTCACACAGCTGAAGTAGTGCTTATTCACATGTAAGAGGGAATTTTTAGAAGGTGCAATCATTTCAATTCCATCACTGCCAAAAATAGAATCATTAAATCACAAAATCATAAGTTAGGTCATCAGGCCCAACCAATTCGGTTCAGGAATTTAGATTAAAGAATCTGCAACAGATGTTCAGCTTCTACTTTATCATTTGAAAACAATGGTTGTATTGATGCATCTTAAAATTGTGTTTGTCTTTTTTGCAGGTATGTCATGTGGCTGAGATTCAATTAGTGATCCAATTATATTCCAGGATGTTTTCACACATAACATTACTAAGCTTCAATATCTGGGTGCTTGATTCCCCCCCCCCCCTAAAGTGTACAAGTTTTTATTTTCATGAAATATCCATTTCCCTCATCTCCTAAAACCATTCTGCATATTGTTTTGTTGTCTATGTTGTTACTGTTTCCCCAAATTCCATCTATACTGGCAAACTTGATAAGCATTTCTTCCATCTACTACTTAGATCATTAATAAAAATGCAAAGAATACTATTCCCAGGAGAGAATCCTGTGGCATCTTCCTTCTATCCAAATGAGGGACAACAGCTGAGCTAAGGGACATACACCATCTTAAAGTGGCTAATAGATAACATTAAGTCACTGATTGCAGCTCTGGCATAATAGTTGGTAAAGTGTGACAGATTACTCCATAGAAAAAATCCATGGCAAAATAGTTGATAAAGGGGAAGGCACACAAGACAATGACTTGAAGACAAGGAAGGTAAGACTCTGGACTCCACCCAAAGACATTGGATACGAGATGGAGAGCAAATTAATTAACTGGAACTCCCAGCAAATAGCAGTGTAATTTGTGCCTACTACTTTATATCTCTTTGAATGATTGGCAAATTACTTTGGGTAGTATGATACCAGCAATAGGATTGTTATGGATTCCTTTCCATACTTTAACCTAGATCAGGGGTGTCAAACTTATATCATCACGGTGTCACATGACATATTGCGACTTTTCCTCCTCCACTAACCTGGGTAGGGGATGTGGCCAGCATGTGATGCATCTGGCCTGTGGGCCAGGAGTTTGACAGCCCTGACCTAGATGCTTTCAACATTTGTAAAATAATTCCTTTGCATTTCTAAGCAAGTGTAGATGTTCTTAACATTTTGCAAGTTTCTTTTGCATTGCTATGTTCCTTTTGAACCAATTGCATACTTCAATTGCTGTAATGCCATCATACCTCAATTATACTTCCAAAATCATTTTAGTATAAGACATTAAAATATTTTTATTTATTTTCAATACTTCGAACATGCATAGACAACAGAACTCCTAGACTCTGAGCCAAGGTTTCTCCTGATTTTCTTCATGGGTTCTTCTACAAAAGTTTATTTCCATCTGTAATGCAGAATTCCTTCTATGAAATCTTCATTTCAGTATTAAATATTTAGCCATGACCTATCATCTCTGAGCTTCTCCTAAAATTGTTTCCTAAGATCTTTATTAATTGCCATGTTAACTGGGACAGGTTGAAGAAGATTTTCAACACAGGTTTTGAAAAACTGTTTTAAGTCTTATTACACATCCTCTTCCAAATTGTAAAACATCCTCCCTTCACCCAATACTAGCGTAAGGATCAAAACTTTAGTTTTGTTTAAAATTTGAGTTAATAGCCTTCTTGACTTTGAGGCACAGGGATTATAAAAAAACCATCTCTAGAAGTTTCCAGATGGGAGCCTTCTAACGCTATCAGTTCTGAGCACTCTGAGTACTTATTTATGGAGAACCATAAAGACCTGGCTCTAAACACTGAGATAGGATAAGAGTTTAGTCAGAAGGTTAATACTATAGTTGCTTTGGTATCTGGTAAGGGTTGATATCCATCCATTTATTTAAATTTATTTGCAGCCCATCTTGTTTCAAAATGACTGGGTGGCTTATAATATTAAAATCCTCAAAATTACAAGAGATTTTAAAACAAGAATGAAAATTACAATCAAAATGGAATTACAGTTAAAGATGGGGAGGGAGGGAGTAGGAAGTACAGGAAGGAAGGGGTGGGATTGCCTCTTAATTCATCAACCAAGTCCAATGTTGTGCTCCACCGCAGGGGACCCAAGCCATCTGGCAGAGTCAGGACTTTAGGCCCTTATGGAAGGTCAGAAGGGTGGGAACTGATCATATCGCGGGGTAAAATGTTTCGAGAAGGAGCCACAGCAGAGAAGGCCCTTCTGGTCCCGCCAACCAGAATTATTTCTCCGATTCTGTACTTATTGTATTATAATTCTATTTTTATTAGTTGTCAGCTGCCTAGGATAACTTTGTGGGATAAATCGCCACATCCTTTAAATAAAGCAAATTTTAATTTGAATAGCTAAATCAGTGAGAAAGAAGAAGGTTACAAACTGGGATCTAACACCAGTTCTTCTAAATTAATCTCCAAACTTGAATAAATCTGATTTAACTTGGAAAATATGTGAAATCTGTATCTCTCTTACTAGACACATTAAATTCCAGAATAAATGATTACGTATTTATCCTTTACATACATAAATCTAGGAAATTCTTTGAAGCATCTTCGTGGAATATGAGAAAAAAATACTTATTATGATAGGTTACGATGTACAGGGATTTCATCCCAGTGATGATGTCAGTGCAAATAAATGCCTTTATGCTGAATTTAGTTGCTAGTAGAAATTATAAAAGCCTCAAGTAAGGATTTCTAGACACCACAGAGGTCTGGTGGTTGGGATGGGAGTAAAAATCGTGTGGGATGGACTTCCAAGTGGAAAATACGATGCTATGGAATGTTCACAATAAAGCACAAATGTGGTCATTTCCCTCCTTGACATCGGTGTCGTCTCCTATAATTACAGCACATTTGCTTTCTCCATTAGCCTCCCTCTTTTTTCTCAATCCCTATCTCTATGCCCATGACTCAGTTTACAAATACAGCATTTCATAGTTCTCAGTCCTTCATGATCATGCGGTACTTAGTCTTAAAAATATCCATGATTTTTCTACAAAATGATAAATGGGTAATGATTTATTTACACAGCAGTACCTATCATAAAAAGGTACAGCAAATACATCAAATTAAGAGAAAAAACTTAAACTTATGAAGATGGCACCAAGCAGTCCCTAAAAGCTATGCTTGCAATTTAAAAGAAAAAAATTAAGGAAAGCTGCTATCTCATTGACTTGGTGAGCCACCACAAGTTCAGTACATAAACAACATGGGCAGAATATGGCAAGAGTTACAACTCTGACCTTATACCATATTGTTCAAACTTTTGTCCTGAGTGAAGAAGAATTGTCTTGAGCCACATATAAAATACATAATATA